CCAAAGGTGCAAATATCGAGCTAAATTCCTCTGGTGTTAATGCTGAGGACTCTAACACCGTTAAGTCTTCAAAATCTCACTCTCATCCTATTGGTCCTGTTATGTATGTATACATCTGTCATTCATTTGGTCTATTACTTTTATTAATTTATTTATTGATATAACTATTATCTATTCGTCATTAATAGTGTGCCACCACCAGATCTCAAAATTATAATTGATAAGATGGCTACATATGTTTCCAAGAGTGGTGAATCTCTTGAAGCCAAAGTTCGTGAAAAACATATAGATGACCCTCGTTTCAGTTTTCTACTGCCTTGGAATGAGTTCCATTCTTATTATAGGCAAAGAATTCAACATGAAAAGGCAGCCGAGACATCAACGAATGATCCCGCAGAAAAGTAATGAATTATTATTCTTAATTATCATTGTATACGTCTTATTGATGTCTTGTGCTTGTATACAATTTATTATTATTGGCCCTCTTATTTGTAGTTTCGATAAACATATTTTTATAATAGCAGCTAGAATTATAAAAATTTACTACGCTGGTCACTATTATAAAATAATTTTAGGATTAATTTCTTAGTAATATTTATTTAGTGAAATATAAACAACTATATGTATAGTTTTTGAGTTAAATTAAATTTATTTTTTTTTACAATAATTAAAAATGTTATTTGAAAAATTTTAGTTTTAATAGTATTATAAAAGTTTAAATATTATTTGAGATAAGCTTAAACTCTTTCCGGCTTACAACCGGTAAAACAAAAAAACAAAATTTTATTGAAAAAAACACAAGCACCTTCTATAAACTCGAACAGGGCGGAAGCCCTCAAGACCAAGAAACGCAAACTAGAAACTACAACTATGAACAAATCACACATGAACAAGAAAACCAAGCTGAACTCAGACAGAAACAAAATTTTTTTCTTCCAGGAGACAAAAAACATTGACAGCGAAGATAACAAAGCAAAAACCAACACAACCTCTATCAAGAAACCTGAGGTCAACAAGTTTACAAGCTATGAACTTGAGGACAGCACTGCAAGTTGGGCAAACCAAGTGGAAAATGAGCAAAAAAAGCAAACAGAAGCTTTCAAGACCTCTTTAACTGCAAGAGAAACATGTAATGATAATGAAAATTTGGAAAACAACAAACATGCAAGTAGCACAGAACACGTGCTAAATAATGAAAACAACAAACATGTGTCTGACAACAAGAATGTGTTTGACAACGAACACGTGCCAAACAACAGCCAACTAGGGCTCTCCTCTGCAAGCACCCCAATTAACACACTAGCCCCAAACATCTCACATTACACAAAAAGAAAACAAAACAGTGAAGATAAACTGAAACAATAGGCAGATCTCTTCTCTAAATTGAAGGGGGAAAAAGCAATCTTCTCGAATTTCTCTCCAAGACAAAAAATATATTCTAAGAATGAGAACACTCTAATCCTAGATATCTACAACTTAATCAATATACCAACGAATGACATAATTATAGCTTTAGCTACGAGTATTGGGAAAGACTTGCTAGTAGCCAAAATTCATATGTCTAGAAGAAAAAGATCTGCTCTTGAGGTGGTGTTTAAAAATAAAGAAAAAGTTCAACTATATACAGCAAAAAGTATCACACTATTTAAACAAACACTCTTTAGCCACATCCCAGTCAACTTGAGATGTTCTTTTCTTACAGTAAAACTAAGAAATACCCCAATGGAGGATACTAAGCAAATAAGCAATTTTATTTTAGGCACCTTTCAAGATGTAGGCCAAGTAGCCTCAATTAAACCTCTACTTTTTAAAGAAACCATTATCTGCTTAGATCAATGGTTAATTAACTTCGAAACTACTGATGACTTAGACTTAACAAACAGAATCCCAAGAATTATGTATATTGGTAATCATAAAATAACTACAGAATAGAAAGAAGCTCCAAAAATCTGCTACTTTTGTAAAAAAGAAGGCCATATTAAAAAAGATTGTGGAGAGCTAAAAGCCTCTATAGAAGCAAGGGTTATGCTAAAGATAGCCAAAATACATCGTGAAAAGGTCAAGAACTAGAAGCTAGCTGCCCCAGAACCTGTTATCAGTCAGAACAACCCCTATCTTGACTGCTTAGCAGAGTGGGCCCAAGTAGAAAGATTCTCAGAATCCACTTCTGAACCAACAACAAACAACTCACTTCAAGGTGAAGTAGAAACTATACAAAAGTCACTAACCAAAAACAACACAATTACAGACCAATACTTTAA